GTAAAATCGTGTATTTCCAACTAACATAAAAATCACAAAAACCAAGGTGGATTGCAGGATGGACTAAAAACGTTATTTATCACAAGCACCGCACAGCAATTATTTGGTTGAAACATCTGATTCTAAATAAAGTGAATTTATTGCAATCGTAATAACGATGAAAACACTATGTAACAGAATTTTTGTTCCTGGGTAGTAAGTGTTATTTTCTAATTGCTTATGCCTCAAAAGTATAGAAAATTGCTATTAATCCCCACAAACTTTGCTTTTGTTCTGTACTTTTGAGGCATAAGCAATTAGGAAATAACACCTACTACCCAGGAACAATTTTTTTTGTTACACAGTGAAATGTATTCAGATGTGGAGGGGAGTACAGTTGCAAAGTTGACAGCACACCGCGCTCTGAACCCCGTGACCTAGCAAAGTTAGTTCCCGATCCGAGACGAGACATTTCACTTTGTCAGTATCACCTCTGGTGGCATTGCCACTTGGTTAGTATCTGTGTGGCCAAGAAAAAGTTCATTACATAAACATTTGAAATGAGTGGGTTATCAAATAATTCACTGTTATTCGCCACATAATTAAACCGGTACGTACTACGTAAGTTGTGCTGCTTTAGACGACACCAATTGCTGCTCTGGCCCATGGACTGCATGGTTAACATCAGCGGCGCGTGACATGTGAACCGTTCCTAATGCTGCACCCCACTTGATACCGAATAAATCACCAGCCTATTGTGCATTGTTCCAATCAAAACATCTTGCTACGTCTAACATTCATGGCGAATCTTAATTCCCCATATTAGAAAGCACTATATTAATGTTCACCAGGCACATAATTGCGCCTGCGCATATGCAAGTGTCATTGCGTGCGTTTACATAAGGGGGCTCGGTAACTTGCGGCTCCGCAACCGCATTGCGGCTCTTGGAGGAGGAGGAGCTGCTTCGTGACGTTACTCATTGAGGCTCACCACCGTCTCGTGCTCACGGGGCATTGCGGCTCTTGAAATATAGATTTTTTACCGAATTCGAACAAAAATTTGTTATCTTCTTCTTATTTCGGTTGCCGACCCTTGGTGTAACACGAAGCACTTTCTATTACGACGAAAAATAATGAAAAATTCAAGATAGCCAATTTGTTAGGAAACATTTTAACCATGCTCTGCGTTTTGGCGAAGGCCTTTTACCCAAAACATTTGCTTCTTCGCATTTTTATTATTGCCAAGCTCCCTTTTATTTAGGCACAATACCAGAGGCACATGTTTCACGGGCAAGTTGTGAAGGTTACGCTTTATTAAGATCAGAAAGCACGACAGCACAAGACACAATGCCCTATGCTGGTCAGTACGCAAACGTGGCTCTAACGATTCAAGGACATAAAAATACGGTTATAATAAAATTACGGAAGAAGATCATATAACTACATCGCAATATGGCATGTTTTCAAATAACTTGTAAAAAAACGATCAAAAGCCACTGGAGACGTACCCCCCGCAGGCGACTTAATAAATACTTGAAGCTTTGCTGTCTAATTACAAAGTATAAAAAAAATAAACAGCACAATCACACACAAACATTGCAAATGTAAAAAAAAACCAGACGGTACACAGAATGTAGTAATCGCTTCTTGATAATAAGCACGAGACACGGGATGCGTGGATGTCAACGGGGGCCAATCTTGCTGCAGGCCTCGGAAACTGCAGACACGGAAACGCCGTCTTGTTTTCCTTCTGCGGAAAACGCTTTCCTCATCCTCCCTCTCTCCTCCTCCTCATCTCCTACACAATTAATTCGGCAAACATCCTCAAAGGATGAGTACACACATTACCGACAGCAATGGGGCATTAACTACGCAGACAAGCACGTCACGAAAGGACCCAACGTAATAAACAACGCAAACGTCACTAAACCTCAACTTACTTAAGTACACGTTATAATATAGTAAATGCAAGTTTGTTACGTTTTGAGAGTAAAAGGTACGAACTGTCAACATTACGCCAGAGAACAAGCTGTTAATGGAACCCAGCGAGTTAAAACATGAACTAACTTCTGACATCTCTCAAGTGTAAATTATGAATTATTTCAATTCCCTTCTAGATATTGTTTGCTAAAGTCAGACTTGTCATGTACCTACATGCAAAGCGTAGATTATTTGCAATAAGCAATACATACAATATGGAATTATAGGTACCCTGTTGCTTTGCAATATAAAAAAAAACACTGGAATAAAAAACTGAAAGGAAGAAATTTGATACAAGTCATATTTAAGAGTACAAACGTCCTGGGTTTTGAGTTCCTGACAAGGAAAATAAATCTAGATATTTCCCACTACTGCTAATTGGGTTTTTTTTAATTTGTCCAGAGGACCCACAGGACCCATGTTTAAGAGCTGGCCACACTCAAGAGAGCAATACGTGTTGTCTGGCAGAAGCCTCCTTCTAATTCTGCTACCTATTTGCAGAAATAAAAGAAACCATTTACGCCACAAGTGAAACTCATTCTGGCGTAGCTGCGTTCTACGCAGCAGAAAGCTCCACAACAACAGCAGCAGCAGCTGCAGCAGGGACAAAGTGGAGACCAGCAATGCTCGGCACGATGAGACAGTCCCCTCACCCCCTTTCAATTCAAGTTCCGCTTTTTCACAAAAATGTTGTCGCTGCGGAGAGGGTTTGGGGGAATTGCTGAACTATACGCTGCTCTTATTATGGGTAAGCACAGACATCCCGCCATTGGCAGAATGGATCTGCAAATGCGTGCACTTTTACACACATATATACACACATCATATCCGTGTGCGCCTGTAGCGGCGTTCCAAACTCTTGCCTATGAAAGTTAAGCAGGGGTCCCCTCCCACCCCCCCCCCCCCCCCCCAATTTGCGTAGATCCATTCGGAACGTAGTGGAACTGTGGCGCTACTTCCAAAACGGCCGCACAAAATTGAGAACTTTCTTCACATTATGTAAAAACAGCTTCGCCCGACATACATACGCGCAATAGACGTGTGCGACGAATGGAGGTCCGATCGGTCGATGCTGTCTGGGCATGGGACTACAAGCTGGCATGGCGACGCTCCCTTAACCCCCTGGCCCTGCCGCGGCGATTAATTGCTGGCCGCGGAAGAAATGAACGCGGTTTGTGCAGATTTCGTCCAGCAAAAGATAACAATGCAACAATACAAGTCGCTTCGTGGGAAGTTGACACCGTAAGATGTTTCCACCGAGGACGACTTCATAATCGAACAAAGTTTATTGGGCCACCCGATGTGTTGTAACGCTGGGGGAAAAAAAACTAGCGCTGAACACAGCTCAGCAGCTGGGGCAGTGCACTCAAGTGTGTTCCTGAGAGGCAAATTCAATATCACGGATAACGGTGGCTTTTTTGTGTGAATGCACACATATCAAAACGTTTTTTAGTGAAAAGAAAAAAAGTAGAGTTTCTAAACGCAAGCTTTGCACAGACTAAACAGTTTTTGTTGTTGTCTTCTTTGGGCCTGCTGTGAGTGGCACCATTTGAAGTGTCACGTGCAATGGTTTGCATACATTTATTTTTAAACGGTGTATTTATTTATTTTAAAAAAACGTTAGCGCCACGCGCAGCGATTTGGCAGTTTATTTAGGACTAGTCCATCTATATTCTGAAAAGAGGAGGGGGGAGACCAAATCGCTGCGCGTGGCGCTAACTTTTTTTAAAATAAATAAATAAACCGTTCAAAAATGTATTTATGCAAACCAACACACCTGAAGACGACCGTTTGTGTTATGGTCGAAACGTCGTGAGATTTTTTATTGTTTTATATATATTTTGTTGTTTCCCTTCAACGTGACTTTACCGAAAGAACTAAGAATATGAATTACTGCAGTCACAAAAGCTTTAAATCAAAATGTACCCGAGCAGTGAAACTTTACGATAAAACACCCAGGTACAATTTTTTTTATATAAATAAATGGAATTCACATGTGCTATGGGGCACTCTGTTGGCGGTGTTTTAAAATTATAAACGAGCCACGTTTTCAAACCCATCATCATCATCCATCGTCACTATCACCAACGTATAACGATGATGTATGCATACGAGCACATCTTGATTTGTTGTCAGTCCCATAACCGAATGTTCAGAATCACCGTGGAATTTTTTCAGTGGTAAGCTAGCTTTCGTGCATTTCAGTATAAGCCTTAACATTTTAACAATCGTATTGAATAAGCGTTGTGGGAATGCAGAGATGTCTTATAACGCACTTATTTACAAAGCGTGGACATTATTTGACATTTCTGTTGCGATTGTCCACGACTCAGAGCCATAATGTAAGACATCACCAGAGTGTAGTCTAAATCTGGTGGCTATCTGGATAGTCCTTGTCCTCCCCAATGATGCTAAGTTTGGATAGAGGAGTGATTTTTTCAGCTCTGATTTATACATTGTTTCATCAGCAGTATTCAGAATCTTTATTTAGACTGGAGGAATCCGATGAGCTATGAAGCTCTTTTTCACAGATGTCCAGTAGGGGCGGGTCACCAAGTTACACCAACAAATAAAAAAATAAATTGATATTCCTTAGCGTGGCACCTTCTCAAAGAGTTTGATGCCGGATCGCTCTCTTACCGTTTACAACATTTTCATCTTTTGGGCAAGCATTTCTATATGACAACACGTGCTTTGAGGGGTCTCAGCTCTTCCTCTGTTGCACCTCGTCATGTTAGACATCCCCTGCAAAGTGGAGGTTTATTGGTCTGTATCCGATCATTATCAGACCTTAAAATGTCTAAATATTCTGTCGATGTATTCCAAAACTATGGTTGATAGAAACACGGTCAACCTCGTGTTCTTATGACTATACTTGATGCGAACTGATCTACTAGTCTTTATTTCTTTCATATGGCATATGAAAAGCAACTGATAGAACATATCACATTGTTGAGTTTGATCATCTATTCGATGGCATCGGTTCACTCGTGTTACATCGGTAAGCATCAACTAAAAACAACAAAGGGGGTAATGCAACATCTCATAAAAGCAGTTTATTATTGGTGACATAACATTAACATGCTGGCTACTTCTGCCTCTTACAAGAATGATGCATCTCCTGCTGAAGTGGACGTATCACCCCTGTAGCTTGTTTAACACATAACCGACAGAGATAAGAAGTGTATTTTATTTTAAACCTTGGCTCATTAATGTCAGACTAATTTATACACATTAAGGACTCAACTAATGGACCATAGCCAGTTAAGACGAAGGCATTGTATATGAACCTGGTGATCTAACGTAGATTCCTTCCCATGGTTAATGGAAGTGGCAGGCGATATCAAAACCGGTCCTGAATCTCTGCCCCTTCAGAAACCCGCACTGAATAGCATGGTGAAGTATGGTCAAGCAACCCCTCCCGCCCCCCCCCCCCATAGTTAACATGGCACGGGCAGGCTTTCAACCAGCATTTGATTGGCAAACGGGCTGTAAATAATAATCGTTATATTAATTAAAAGTGCCGCCTTAGTACTTACTTGTATAGTCATTAATGGTCTTCACTAGGTCACACACAAACGGTTTTGATAAAATTCAAAATTGCAAATAAACAATAATCATCGACTTGTATCGAGTCCTCGAACAAAGACAGATTTAAACAAAAAAAACTGCGACATCGTAAATGTTCTCTGAAAGTTTTCCGCCGAGATGGAGAAAATTTATTTTCTAATCTAAATCAGACTTTCCTCTCCGCCCCATCATCTATTTCAAACACGAGACGTAGTCTATCTCCCTTAGCCACTGTGAATGAAATGTATTTTTGTATGTCACCCAGGACTTCGAATATTACACGCAGGTTGAGCTGTACGCATTATTATAAAACACAATCCAGGACTTGCGTTACAGGGTATGGCACAAAAAAAGAAACTAGTTCTGCAGTGAATCTTGTAACGAATACGGCTCTAAAATAAACACCGTCATTATTGTATTTAAATGTTTTCAATGGAGTAAACAAAACACATTGCAAATGACACTTTGAGAGTTTGGTTGCAATAACGTAACAAGTTTACGGATAGTAAAAAAAAATATGGCTTACGTCACAACTTTCCAAAAATGTTGTTGCATCTCGTGAAAAAGATATCTTTTAATCTCTTTGAACTATATTGTACGGTATATTTTTTTTTAATTAGGTTAGGCTTTTGTAAAAAGAAAAATCTCGAGTTACTAAATTCTGTTTTCCCTTTGAAAAAAAAAACACAATGAAAATTCCTGGCCAATGTTAAACTCCCCAGATGCCTGTTACTCACAAAAGAGATATTTCATAAACTATAGAAAAAATACTATGAAAACAGTGGCATTGTCTTGAGTGCAGGCTATAAAATTGGCTCTAGTATACACTACCAGACGATCGTTAATGACGCGATGGATACTCTTTTGGGATTGGCTGGCAAAAGCAGAATAAAAGTCAGCGCCTCCTTGCTCAAAATGAGCGATGGAGTGGACGCTTATCTCCATCGGTGGTCCTGAGCCAGTGGTGGAAATGTTTACACTCCCATGGCAGATGCCAACAGAGTATCTACGTAGGACCACCACTGTTGATTTCCCACAAAGTGTTACTCATTCTACCGACCCCTGAGTGATCATGGGCTGAGTTGACCAAAAGTTGAGATGCTAATCCTTCCAATCGTGTGTCAAGCACTATCCCTGCAGTGCCATCCCATCGGTGTGATAACACACGACCTTATTCTCGAGATTACGATGAACCCCCCACCCCCACCCCCACTCCCGCCCCCCACCCCCCCAGAAATTAAGGCGAAAGATGGGGGTGCGTCTTACAATCCAATTGGTGTGCTTTATGTATAACGTCATTGATATAGCGAGAACTAGTTTGGGCTACAGCTTACTTTCTCAAGCGGCGTCGCATAATCCAGAGAATACGGTAAAGTCAGACTACGGGCTGCGCATCTGCGAGCACAAGCCGGTGTCTGGTGCTACTTGCCTACCACGGTGGCCTTGAGTCAGCGGTAAATATTCTGCATTCCTTACGAGCGGGCTGTTCTCTCTAAAGTTAAACACATGTTAAGTGCAAAAACAAAACTCAACTTCACTATGGACATACATTTCAACTATTGCTGTGCTATTAATTGGCTAGCTACTTAATAAGATGACAACTCATGGACAAAGTAGGATTAACAGTACTTAGTACGGCTGAGTGCACGCTGCTGTAATTTAATATTCAAAAAATCTAGGAACCATGTAAAAATAAAAAAATATATAACACAGAAAATGTAACTTGACGAGACAGTGAGGAATTGAAAAAGATACAATACTGAACTTTTAACTCATTAAAAAGAAATATAACTAGGTGGTCCTTATTACAGCATTGGAACAATGATGCAACATATAACCTGAATTGGATGCATGTTTTGACAAATGTGTGGTGGCCAAAAACACGTTCCACTAAAAGTTGATGCACCTCGATGGGTTTTTGCACAAAGCGCGTGTTTCACCTGGCATCTAACGCAATCGCACGGTGATTACATAAGATTTCCGTCCAAGCGTGCTCTTAATAAGGCCTGGAAATGTTTCCTCTCTTCATCGGCTATAATATTTCATCTTGTAACCGCTTAAGCCCGTACACAAGGAGCACACGCAGGCCACGTAAACCACGTCGATTTCCAAAACGTTTTTTTTCCTTTTCGACAACCTAACCCAGGATACGAAAAAAAGAACAGAGCCAATTAGAATCAAGTCGCCCACACAGCCGGCTTGGCGAAGGAGAACCGCGGGCGGGCGCAAATTCATCGGCGACGCACTTCACCCCTGCGAGCCTTGGCCATCTGCCCCCCCGGCGCCGTTCGAGCGAGCGGAGCGCGAGCCGGCGTCCGTCCCCGAACCGTCGGGCCGCTCCGTGTCCACCGAGACGGCGAGCAGGGACAGCCGCGGCGGCGGGGGGCCGCCATTGTCCCGTCCGCCGCCGCGGCCCAGCGACGAGCCCGTCTCCTGGCCGACGCTCGACGGCGGCCCGTCGTACGCCGCGGCGAACGACGGGACGCCGTGGCCCGGGAACGGGAGCGGAGGGCCACGGGGCGCCGGCATCGGGGTCAGGGAGCCGGCGGGGGTCGGCTGCCCACCGGCCAACATCGCGTGGACGAGCTGTGGGGCCGTCGTGCCCGGGGCCTGCGTCGCGTAGCCGCACGCGGCCCTGGCCGGGGTGGAGGCGGTCACCGGCGTGTTCAAGGTCCCCGCGGATTCCAACACCCGGTCGGGGTCAATGATGAAGTTGATCACTGCAAGACGGACGTAGCCAAAACAAAAAACGACAAATCATGTTGAGGTCAGACTACACTGACCATCAATAAGCCCTCAAAGGGGAGTTTGCGACGTTACCGGCAACAATTGATAATTTTACAGAGAGTTTGTTTAGCAATAAACGGTTGATTATTCGTAGCTATTGTTACTCAATACTCAATAGCTACGCATAGATAGCTTTTTATATGCCAATTAAAACACTGTTCATGAGGGTACAATTTTAAATGTAATTGTTATCAGGCCCCATGGTATAACTTAAATTTCCACTCTATATTTATGTACTATTCAGGGCCATTGCCCGATACATCATCGACGATATATTTTTCTTCTTGGTTCTTTCGGTAAAGTCACGTAGAATGAGAATAAAATAATGTCTTATTTTATTTTATTATTTTATTCTCATTCAACGTGGTGACTTTACCGAAAGAACCAAGAAGATGAATCCTTGCAGTCACGAAAGCTTTAAATCGAGATCTATTTTTCATTCAACGCCTCGGTGTTATTGACTGTGTTGATTTTTTTTGCAACAATTGGTTTCAATAAATGCTTCACCAATTGGCTTTGCATCACCGACAGAAATGAGGTCCTGCCTGTTAATCGTTTAAGGCAGTACTTAACCTTATAACCAATAATATTACATGCCTGTAAATCGGAACCACATCACAATGCATGTCGGTCTTCCTGCACTCCTTCAGTCAGCAGAGCATGACATCACACGAGACAGTAGCAAAACAGAATAGCTTTGTAGTCAAATAAATTGGTCGCTCTAATCCAACACTAATTGATGCTCAATTATGTTCTATCAAGAGTGATTTGCTGCATTTTCGTCATCCGATATCGTGTATTTAAACATCTTAAACCTCAAAAGCGAGGCTAGGACAATTGAAGCAAAACAATTATAAATGAAGGATTTTTACTGAGTTACTGTTAAAGCTGCTGACATCAACGTTTCTTATTTGAAAAGGCTTAAACGCAGATAGTTGCACATGCTTTCTTTAATTCGCACTGCCTTAAATTAAAATGAAAGAGCACGTTCGACTCACTATTTTTTTTTACAGATTTGTGCCGAAAAATTGGGCCATGTACCAACTGACACTCAGCCTCCAACAGTCAGGTGAATAAATACTAATGATGCATCAAAACACGGTGCGTTTAGACCGTTTTTAACCACTTGGTTAGAACTGCCATCTCTTGAAAGGAGTCATGCGATAGGGGAAGAGAAGGGGAAAACAAGTTTCAATATTCTGCTTTTACCCCCCAACGTATAAACGGAATGTCTGGAAGGGAATCCGCTGGACATCTATACAAGAGTAGCACTGCCAAGTATTTGGAAAGATACTCTTAATTTGAATATGAGCTGCATTAGTGTGTTCCAGATGCACTAACTCCACACTTTTCTACACAACTACATACTTTGTGTCAATGTGGTATAAAGCATTACCCCAAAACAGCACAATTCATATTAAGTCCTCCAATGTATGCAAATGCATCGATCTTATTCACAGCAGTTCACTAATAAGAGTCGAGACCGAATGTCAAAAATTAATATATTGTTTTGTGTGATCCAAGCGTTTTGCCAAAAGCTACACAAAATTGTCCCAGCCACTTCGCCAGAAATAATACGAAATATGTAATTCATTGCCGTCTGCGATAGGCTGGAAACACTTTTTTGGCCTTGCTTTGACATGAAAGAATGCACGTACAACAAATGGGTGCATGACGCCAACTGGAACACGCCAATAGGGTCTCTTGTAATTACGCCTTATTCACTTAAGTTAAAGAATGGCCTTAAACATGATTCACAGGATGTCCATTCCTCGTTAATTGGCATGTTGCAATAACCTGGGCAGAGACGTTCGACCAAACTTCCAGACAGCGATCTCCACACGCACATCCACGCAAGCAGACGAAACTCACCCACGCCAGCACGCAGGGCTACTTTTGGTGTCACGAGATCTTGAACTATTGCCGCAGCCTTAATTATTACTCTAAAGTTTTGAGGATACACACTTAATGTTTAACTATTTAATCGCCCTCCCCCCCATCCCACACACACACACCCTCCCCCTTTCACAAACCAACACTGACCAGCACGGTGAAGTATGGTCAAACAGCCCCCGTGACCAATACAGGAGGAGGTCTTCATTGAGCAGTGGAATTACAAATGGACTGTTTTATTCAGTTACTCACATTAACATAAACCAAACATTATTTTTACCGAAGAACTCGTGGAACTAAATATATAATTAGTTCTGCCTTGACCTTGATTGCACAAAATCTTTAATATTAGGTACCAACATAACAAGTGTGACTTGTGTACGATTTACAGAAATCTTTTCCCTGACTTTTATTTACTGCAAAATCATGTTTTGGTGTAAATGACATGCATCATAAATATACCATACGCACGTTTAGTATCAAAATTATGAAATAATTTTTATTTCAAATTGAGGGCTAAAGGATATCCATTGCAATTTTCACATTTTTTTCGAACATCTATAGTATAATGATGTTATTTAAGCCCTGGGCAAAGGAAATAATCATTCCTTAATTGCATCAGTTATGACACTTGATATGTTTGTACATTTACAGGGAACAATTTACCAGGTAAAATATCCATTAATATATTTGCCTTCCAGCTGTCACCAGATTCTAATGACACTTGGTTTACACAAACTCCAGTGAGTAATCATATTAACCATGCAACTTGCACTCCCCCACCCCAGGTGTATAGGTTTTTTTTCTAATATTTTTCTTTCCACAGCAGCAACATTTGGTGATATGGGAAATATGTTGAACACTGTTAATGGTGAAAATCCAATACAAGAGATTCCTTATTAACGAATGAAGATAATTACAATGTAAAATAGCATTGTGCAGGAGTCCAATCTTTGTTTTAAAGCTTTCATAATTACAAATTTAAAATACAATACGGCAACTACTTATTTACCCAGGGAAGCCACACCGAGTCCAAAGGCTTGTTTTCAGGAGGGCTCCGGGATGATTGAATGTGGAAAAGTTGTAAGGACTTGTTAATAATTCTACATTTGCGCGCATGTTGTCTAAGGCGGTTCAACATGAGAGCATATTGCAGCGTTGGACTGCTCGGTCATTTTATGTAATGCTGGTTGCCAGCTACGGTGGCCGAACACGACACTGGCGTGTCCTCTGAAGAGCGGATAAGTAAACACCGATGCAGAATGCTGCGTGAAGGCGGAGCGATGCCGCTGACCCGATGCAAGGACTGACTAATGCCAAAACACGTGATTTAATGAACAACGTCCGCGTCGTGTTTGGGCGTTTACAATACGTTTCCAAACAACTTACCAATTTACGTCTCCCCCTTTTAACGTTGTCTCGCAAACAAGTCATCACTTTATTTATACCGATGTAGCGGAGTAAGTAACGCGCGCGGGGTTTTGCAAACAGTGTGCACGCATGTGTGAGCGGCGGACAGTGAAGTCTCGTCAGGGCAAACGAGAGCAATCAGAGGAATGCAACCAATCAAGAGGCGGTCAGGGGGAGAGGATCCGTGCGCGAGGCGACGCCGGCTTGACGAGGGCCACCTGAGGGCACTTAATGAGGAGGAGGAGGAGGATAAAAGAGGAACGTGTGAGGCAGAGGTTGGTTGGCGTGAAGACAAGAGAGCATTCAAGAGAAGTCCGGGACCCCCTCTCCACACCGTGTCCTCTCTCCAGCGGTGATGGCTGATCCCCCGCTGGAGGCACGGGCGAGGATGGAAGAGTGAGGGTAGGCAGGCTAGCGGTAGAGAAGCTAGCGGAGAGTATAGTAACAGGCTAGCAGTAGGGAAGCTAGCAGAGTGTACGGTGACAGGCTAGCAGTGGAGAAGCTAGCAGAGTATACTGTGACAGGCTAGCGGAGCGAGAGAGAGAACGAGCGGAGCGCAGCAGACGAGCAGGAAGAGTTGCGACGGAGATACGTGGTGCTGCAGGCGAGGAGTTCTGTACGAATAAAGTGACACGGGGGAAAAAAAATTGTCCGCGTGAAATAACACCGCTACACCTGTACCCGATTTGTGTCTCCTCAACCCTACACTTATTTCACTTCTCAGCCTTCGCCTCCACCACCACCACCACCGAACTACTACTAGCCTGTATACTGCTTTGATTGACGTCGTTTCGATATTCGTAATTGTCGCACCTTTCAGCAACGCATCCCGGACGTAAACCGGGATATTGCTGTATATTGTTGTCGTTCTGAACTTAAAAGGATATTCTTACTTTCCCAGTGCTAGTCCAGCTTTCATGCTTCCTGATCAACACACATCGACTGCACATTGTGAATGACATATGAGGGGAGGAAAATACTACTCCACTGTAGTACAACGTCGAATATCTGACTCGCTGGTGTTTATGTGAAAATGCCAGATATGTATGTATCGAAAGAAAAAGGCAGCTACACCATGCAAGAAAAAAAGCAAACTGCTTTGAACATGAAAAAAGATTGGCTATATTTCATAACTGATCATGTTCACAAGTATAAAAAAAATTCCACGCATTAAAGTTTGCACCAAGTACGCGGCCTTGAAGCTCAGAATCCATATACTCTGTTTAAACTGATACTCATTTCAATGTAAAAAGAGGTGCAGAACTTCACGCACGAGGCCTCCACACTTTGACAATTACAGGCTGCTTGGGTTGGGAGAAACAAATATTTATGGCGAGAAATTGCCGCTTGTGCTTTTCAAAAAAATGTACGACGCCGACAATCACATGTTTGTAATCACGAGGGAATAGCACAAACGGAGTTCAGCGTTTTCATAGGGCCACCTCCAGTGGGGGAAAAAATAACATTTTTGGACGGCAGGGCCTGGAAACGGATGACAGCGGAATCCGAGCGTTACCAACGAGAGGTGACACGGGCCCAGCGGTTACCGCATTCGCCGCTCGATCCAGAGGTTCGCGGTTTCGGATCCAGCGGCCGCCCCGATCAGTCTTGCGGTGTGCAATAACCGTAG